TACAGCAATTGTAGCGACTTGATCACTGAGCTTTGCAGCTCTCTACTGCAGGCACACTGTTTGTCGTCGAGTGAGTAATGTGCATGCGAGGTTTTTCTTGGGGAAACATTCTAACTACGCATGCTTATGCAGCAGGTTCTCGGTCAGAAAGCATAACGGTCGTACATACATACAAGCAGAATAATAGTATAGATTATTACCGTGGTCTTTCTTATGTTACTTCTGCCAGTACTTTAGTACTTTCACATATTTATTGCAGTTTTTGTGATTAATATAGTTCGTCCTGTTGTTGTACTATTACCCAACTTTTAGAAATTTTCAATTAAATTACTTTAAAATAGTACTTAACCTGTGTATAGAGTTAATCTATTCTCTGTGTCTTCGATACTGTTGGTCAGTGAGCAATAAACAAGTGGCTGTTGTATATGCAGTGAATATGAATAAATTTAAAGAAAACTGAATCCCCACTAGTGAAAATCTTACACTATTAAATCATGGTATCTATGTTTACTACATAGTTAGCTATATAAATTCATAGGCAGTTTGAGAAAGTAGCTTTTTGCCAAACAAAATCATTAATTATTTAATCAGTCAAAAAATTCTTTAGTCAAAAATTTTTCTCAAATACATATGAATTTATTTTACAGCAAATGCTTACATTATCCTGATACTGAGATGACTATGACATGATGAGTGCTATGCCGTATCAATCAGGGAATGTATTCATTTAACTCTTTTGCAAAGGTCTCCCGCAATTTGCAGGAGACCAACTTGGGAAGGATATCTGTAAAATAATACATATGGTAACTGAGATTTCTTAATGTATGTTCCCAAAAACTAGTAAGATTTTGTTATAAGATTATAAGTATCTTGTAAACAAAGAATGACATTAGTATAATTAAGTCTTTCTACAAAAAATATATTATTTATCTACTGTAGTTATTTGCACTCACAGACTCTGAAGAGTTCAAGTACAAGGTGATTTTCAAGTATTAAAATATTTTTTCTTTATTTTACAGTTTTCCAGTTTTATTTGCATAACCTTAGAATCTCCTAAATGGATATCAAAAGTTTTTTTAAGGTAAATGTTTGTATTTTATATCTCATTTTCTCTAACTTATCACCAACTGTAAATATTATGATATAGTGCAATGAAATGTTTAAAATTAAGAAACAGAAAAATATACACAACTTTTAATTTTTTATAGAATATCTTAAAAGATATTCATTTTTAGGTATTTGTAAAATAAAATAACTCAGTAACATAGAATGTCCAAAAACATGATATAAATGGCTTTATAACTAATATACAGTTAAAAGAAAATATTATAAGCATTAATTTTGTTTACACACAATCAATCACTTCCTCTACACTAACGTCTACTGCTGCCAAATTCAAAAGGAAGGTTTCAAGCTTTAAATGAAAATAAGTTCTTTATGTTAGTTATAAACATGTATGTCATATAGGAACAAGTGGTTTTGAAAACTGCCTTGAAAGTTAAAAACAGATGGGCTAGGCTTCTGTCATGGATTGATATTTCAGCAAATGGAGTAGTTAGGATGTTACAACTGTATGTTTGACCTTGCCATTATATACAGATTATATTACTTAAACAGTGTAGACGCTACACTACTGGTTATACAAACTAAAAGAGGAGAACTGAAAGCAAAAGCACATCGTGTGACAACAAAAGTGAAGATTTAAATATCGTTTAAATAATTTCTCTTAAAATTAAGAATTTAAAACACAGATAATATATAAAATTGAATTATAAATTACATTCTGAAGCTAGTTTTGTTGACATACATTAAATCTTTCCATAGGAGGATGGTTGATATGGCTGACCTTGTAACCAAAGTAATCATCAGAGTTTCCATGCTATAACTTTTTATTTCGGAGGTTTACCTTCATGATATTTGGCAAGCTTTCAGTATACATTACAAGTCTTTTGTACACAAAAAGTCAGATTTTTTAATTAAGTATTATTTCTAAAGATATGTCTATGAATATATAGAGATAGTGTTGATTGGTCTGAGTGCAAATTTATATTCATATTAAGACATTTAGATTTGAAAATACTTTTTTAATCTAAATATTTTCAAATTTTATTTGCGTAACCTCTAAAATCTATATAAATATCAAACTTTTTCAGGAAAATTTTATATTTTACCTGCTATTTTCTCTACCTTAATTCTATATGAACTTAGTTGATTTGTCTGACCTTCTAACCACAATAAAAATTATGAAATAAATCTAAATTAATTTTTTTTCTGTCTAGAGTGAATGGAGATTGTAAGAGAACACTACAATCATTTATCCTAAGTAGATAAAAGCACATTTGCTCTTTGAACCAATTCTAACCAATAATCTTGCCATACAAGTTTGAAATCCCTCAGCAAATGCATAGTTCATGTTACTGTATTGAATAACATAACACGAGCTACTTGCGAACATATCTTGTGAATAATTTTTATCATTATTTTTTCATAATCTTAGCTAATGTAACATTATAAAACCTAATAAGTATCTAATTTATACAATCTAGTTAGTTTTATAACAATAAATAATAATAAGGGTTAATAATAAAGTTGTTTTCTTAAACTATGAATGTCACCCTGTAAAATGCTGTAACTAGCACGAAAGAGCCAGCCCCATGCTTAAAGAGTTAGTGGCACTACAAAAAGATCTGGAATGAGTCATATCCCAGTCATGGTGAGCAACTTGTAGCATCTTGTAAGAAGTAAAAATCCACAAACATAAAGGTCAGTGTCAAAAGCCATTCACAAATTTTAGGCAACATAATAAGAAGGACCTTTATCCAGAAAAAAGCAAACAGGGTATGGAATCACTGAGATAAGGCTTCCAGTCATATCTCTTACTCAACTGTCACATCCTTCAAATAGCTGGTGAGTAAAACTTATGCTATTCCATACAAAGACATATTGGTCTAGTTTCTAGATACAACACTTATGTAATTTTGTGGTCAAATGTCGAAACATGTACTGAGCAATCATAACCCTCATATACTATATAGATTATGAAGAACATGTAGGGAGAAGTGGTGTGCTTTGGGTTGACATACTTACAATGCAGCCTTTTGCAATGGAAATTATGTAGCAGTGCTATTGTCAAAATGCATAATTATCAGAGAAAGCAAGATTTGTGTACAAAGCAAGGTTTTGAATGTTTCATCTTTTGTTAAGTGTTCAAAAACTGAACATCTAATTCTAACAATTATGATAAAACATATTAACAAATTTTTTAACATGCATACTTATTAAGTACCATGCAACACATACCTTGCTCGACTGGTCATATCCACAATAAAGATGATTAAGTCAATGTATGGTCTTTCCTGCTCATTCTCCTTTGGTAATGGAAGTTTTACACAAGTACGTCTGTTTTGATAAAATCAAGAATATTATTTATTACAATTCTGTTATCAAAAACTTCTAAAGTATCCAAAGAATAAAACACATGTTTATTATCACTCATAAGACTTATCACAGGTTTTATAATTATTTTATAATGTTTTGTAGTAAATAGAAATCTCAGGTGAATGAACAACAGCAAAGTAATTAGGAGTGTGAACACAATAAAATTACATCAACTGTTACAATGCGGTACATCCCTCTTTTAGTTACAGGTAAAGCTGGGCAATTAGTGGAATTTACACACTGATTGCCAGGCTCATTAATCAGTTACATTCAAATAATTGATTATTCTTACATAAAACTAATATATACACCTGGAAAAAAGTTAAGCACCCCCAAATATTTTTCAGGATTGCTTATTGAAAATAAGGTTTAATTTTCATGATGTTGAGCAATGTTCATAATTTCAAACATAATTAAAAGGATGTGAGCATTCAGGTGTGACATTTAAATCAGGTGCATTTTTTTCCCCACGTGCAACTTGCTCCCATCTTCACATCCAATATGCACTATTTTCTCGTGCATCAAATCCGTATTTAAGTCCCGAATTTCTGAATGCAAAATCATTTTAAGTAAAATGGCAAGAAGACGGATATCAGAGGCGCAGA